TATCACAATTCAATTGTAATCTTTTAAGTAATATATTCAGACTGTGATAGCTTTCTTATATTTTGTTGCAATATTTTTAAGAATAATTTTGGTTTTGACATTATCGTTTCACAGTTTTTAGGATCACAAGTATGTAGCTCAGTTATGTCAAAAGTATCTAAAATACTTATATTATTGAAATGAAAGTTATTAATTGAAGTTGGTGTTTGGTTTTGACACAACAATGTTACAATAAATATATTACGTTTTTATTATTAGGTGGTAGTTTTCTCTTCTTCTTTCACCACCTGTGCGGATGTAAATAATTTTAATAATTTAATCGGTAAATATGTATGGTCATAGTTTTGTGTTAGTTTCATTTAAAGGCAACTGAATAAGCGACTAATTTCACTTCTCGTGATCAAAAGGCGGGTCTTCTTCTTACACACAGACACAGACAGCATTGTCATATTAGCATCCTATGTGGCTATGTTTTTAGCATTCTGGGAACGCTATTTTGAGGCGACTCTTATAACTAAAAGAAATTAATAACATTTATTGTTTGTAAGTTGTATATGAATAAGTAATTGGACATTCAATGTCAAGCATTAAGCTTTGCTGCACGTGCACATGTTTGCGGAATAAATGGGTCAGACCTATCGTCTCATTCTCAATGGGGCCGGTCTTAATTTAATGTAAAATTAAGTCGTTACTTTTAATGATCACTCAACCCACCTCAAGGGCCTGGGCTATTATAATTGAGCGTGATGCTGAAGTTTGGACAGCCGGAACGGAAAAATTGACATTGGGGTGTCCCGTTGTTTCGAATCCTGAAAAATTGACCTGTATGCTAGAACTGGTACTAATAAAAAGGACTATATATGTATTTAATATGGTTGTAACCTCGTCTAACCTCTTGAGATAAATACATGTAAGTAAATAAACCGAAGTGTAAAACAATGAAAGGTTTGTACATAATACAGCGTTTCATTTTAAGCTTGTTGTTTACACAGCTAACGTGACAAAAGAAGTACCTAGCGGCTTCAGTGATTAGTAATTTTAGTAGCCATTATTCGCAATCAAACATGTTGATAGACATAATAGATGGTCTGTTACTGGACGGGCAAGACCAATAAGAAAATTACAACATCATTCGAACTAGTAACTCTGGCTAGTTTAAATCACAGATCTAAAATGTGCTAACTATATCTAATGGCCATTTATATTTTTTAAACTTGTATGAACTGTTAAACCTAATAATAATCAGAATGTTTAGTTCTCAATCACAAGTATCGCTTTAATATTCAACAAATTAAGCAAATGTCTGTGTTATACATCCCCCGGCCCCCGCTTCACTCGCCGATAGCTCGCTCTGATAACGTGCGCTATTTATGCAGCGCCAGCAAACTCCAGCTCCGTGTTATGTAAATGAGTAAAAACTAAAAAAAAACTCGTGCTCCGTGCTTTAACTACAAAAATAGACTTGAAATTTGATGCAGAATTTTACCACCACATTTTTTCTATTATAAGAGTGGTAGTCCTAGTCGCTTAGGATTTAGGATTCTTCAAATAAAACAATCGACACACACACAGGTTTAGAGATAGCATTGTGTGTTGTAAGAAGATTGAAACAGCTATGAATCATTAGAGGTAAACTAAATGTCCTTGTCTTTGAACTGTTTGTTATCAATCTTTGCAATTTAATGAGCTTTATAACAATAATAATTTTCTAGGTTTTTAAGCTATTGCACAGCTTCTAACGCGGGCCTTGAGCGTGGAGACCGAATCCAGAAATTCCGTAACGAAAATAACCTAACACTCCGACCGGCAAACCCTATACCAACCCGCCTGGCCAGCGTGGTATAGTAGGCCAAAACCTTCTTTCTAAGGAGAGGCCTATGTCCAGCAGTGGACTATTAAAGGCTGTTGATGTGTGACCCGCGACTTCGTTCGAGTGGAATAGAAAAAACTTGAATTAATATCAAAGAAAAAAAATACTGCATAAATAAAAAATAAATAAAAAATTACAATTGCATAAGTTGATAAAAAATGCTATGCAATAGCTTTACCGCGGCAGTCCCCGAGTGCCACACGTCTTTTTTTTAAGCTATTGCATAGCTTCTATCGAGGGCCCTTGAGCGCGGGGACCGAATCCAGAAATTCCGTAACGAAAAAAAATCTCACGCTAAAAACAAAACAAAAAACAGTACCAAAATCAAATGCTGAACGTCAAAGGAAATTTCGTCAACATAATGCAGAAAAATCTACATGGATATGTAATTTGATTTAATAATAATATTTTTTATTTATTTATTTAAAAACAAATTGTAATATGTGCTTCAATATTTTTATTTAATAAAAAAAAAAAAATTGTTTTCTTATCGGTCACCACGCTCAAAAAGTGTAACTTGAATTAATATCAAAGAAAAAGAAATACTGCATAAATAAAATAAATAAATAATTATAATTGCATAAGTTGATACAAAATGCTATGCAATAGCTTTACCGCGGCAGTCCCCGAGTGCCACACGTCTTTTTTTATGTTTGAGGGGGCAGACGAGCAGACGGGTCACCTGATGGAAAGTGGCTATCGCCGCCCATAAACGTCTGCAGGTCTCTTTTAGGAAGGAGTACGCTCTTTTCTTGAAGGTTTGAAGGTCGTATCGGTCCGGAAAAGAAATTTTATGTTAATTTACAGGTAACACTTTTCAACAAACAATATGCAATTATACAGAGAGTTTCATTTCCTTTCACATATACTTAAGCCACATATTCTACCCTTAATTTCTAGGCGATTTGCAAAATATGAACAAAATATATCCAGTAGTTTAGCCACAGGACTCATTTTTGTGTTTCGTAAATTGCAACATCATGTGTACATGCAGTCATAATACATTGACCTCAGGCGGCGATCAGCTGTAGGTATAGATCAGCGGCGCGGTAATCACACGTTGCCGCTTTTACTACACCCGAATCGAACGAAATATGTTGATTATTACGTCATCACGATGCAACACGCGTTTTTAATTAGTTCATCCAGTAAGGACAGTCAGTCGGCCCTTGGCCACCGGCGAGCTTATGCTATTCCGTATCCTTGTAGATGCGCTCACGACAAATAACCGTAATAATAATATTGTTGTTGTTTATGAGATACATATTTGTTTAGAGAAGTTTTCTTGTGGTAATAATTGTTTAGTCTTATTGCTTTCGTCATAATACACGGCAATGGTGTGAACAATTAATGTTATCGTGTGCGCAAGACTTCGTAATGTAAGGAGTCCTGCTAATTTTATTTTGAAAAGTCACTATTAGGTTCTGTGTGTAGTGTAGTGTGAAACTGAGTGCATTATCAGTCTTTTAATTTTATTGGGTTATCGATATCAACATCCATAATGCCGTGAGTGACCTTCACAGCCGCGGAATATCCTGCTATGATGTTAATTTATGGAAAACTCTATCAAAACGCATCTTTTGCTTTACGGACACGTATGGAGTCAATCGTGTATGTCCTACAGACTGCCGAATTTTTGTAAGGGCGGTACAAAGATTACGAGACAACCAAGGTAACTACTTTTTCAAGGAGTGACGCGTACTGCTGGGTCGGAAGCTAGTCGAGCATTCACGAAATAAACACGTGAATAAAATCGCATTCTTTATAAATAGATTTTTAAAAGCAAGTGAAGTGATTGGTAGGTAGGTAATAAGAATGTAAAGTTCGCCGGCGGCGGCGTCGTTTTGATGTCGCCGACATTGCGACGCTGCCGTGTAGGTACAGTTCACCGACGCATGTTATCAATGGTGTTCTAATTCGGAAATTATTTTATTGTATTTAGTTTGTTCTAAATTTGCATTTCTGTATTTTCGTACTAATTTTTTATTTTTTTATTTTAACCGACGTATATTGAACCGTGTTATATGTTATTTCATTTTTTGTGATATCTATACCGCCACAGTGTATATACTTACTAGCTGTGCCCCACGTTGTGAACCGCGGTTATTGTTGTACCTTGTTCATCCCATCCATCTATGTCTATGCCAAATTTCATCCAGATCTGATCAGCTGTGAAATAGTAACGAAGATCCATACATATATAAAAACTTTTTCCTTTATAATAGTAAGATATATTGGGCACTATTTGTAGATTTTTGAGTAGCAGCGCAGTAAACAAACCAAATATGGAATAAAAGTAGACAAAGTATAAACGGTCTATGTTTAAATTAATAAACCCATTCAGTAAGTTTAGGTAGTGTAGGAGCGACCTACATAAAATAAAAGCATACGTCCTAACGCGGCGAGGGCGCGCCGACACTGGCTGAGTGGCTGCGTCGCCGTCCCGCCGTAGGCGAGTACGTGCGCCGGAGCAGCGAGCGACATCCCTGCGCCGAGTTCAATTGCATACTGAATTGGATTACTTCGGCGCGGTTATTTTATAGTAGGACACTTTTATACCCTGCGGCACGTCGGCCGTAAGGATCGCGAAGTCCCAAGTTGTGTCATTGGTCAATTTACTTTTATTACTCCTTAATGCTACCACTAATTGTACCAACAAATTGTACATATAATACGTTCATTTTTTATAATAAACACGCATTGTCATAACGTATCTTTGTTTAATTTCTGCATCAAGAACATCCCCGAAAGTGGTGACCCCGACGTGATCATGTCTCAAGAACATCCTGTCGTGCTGTCGGAACAGGATATCGAGACTATCTCCATCAAGGCAAGAATACCACAGTTCTGGCGTGATAAACCTCGACTTTGGTTTGCACAATTCGAGACGATCATTACCAACCAGAAGCTCAGCGATGAAGGCAAATTTACACTGGCCGTAGCACAACTTGAGAAGATGGACATCGAACAAATTGGCGATATTATTTTGTCACCCGCCAACACAGGAAGATACGAGGCATTAAAAAGCAGACTACTATCCGTCTACGAGGAGTCAGAAAACAAACAACTACAGAAGCTGCTAAATGACGTAGAACTAGGCGATCAGCGACCCTCCCAACTTTTAAGGCGTATGCGTGACCTGGCGCGCGACAAGATACCCGAACATACACTCCGCATGTTATGGATCGGCCACCTACCCTCTGCTACACGAGCAGTGCTTGCGGTTAGCGAGGAATCAAGACTCGACGCACTGGCAGCGATGGCCGACAAGATGGCCGAGCAGACAAAAGAAGTACACTCTGTATGTTCGTGTGGCCATGGCAGCGGTATTACGAATAAGCCAGCAACATCAGCACCAGACGAGAGAATCCTCTGCATGATCGAATCACTAACTAGAGAGATCGCCGCGCTAAAAACGGATAGATCGAGGAACAACTACCGTCATCTGCGCAAAAATCATCAACGACGGCCGCGCTCACGTTCAAACTCAGTAAATCGTACGCCGTCGGTATGCTATTTCCATCGAAAGTTCGGAAATGAAGCCTACAGATGTCGAAGTCCGTGTACTTTCGAGAAGAAAACGAATCAGACACGGGAAAACTAGAAAAGACTTTAGCTGCGACGGGAGCCGAAGTCGACGAAATTTCAAAATACCGTCGTTTATTTATTAAAGAAATATCTACTGGACTTCGTTTTCTCATCGATACGGGAGCCAACGTTTCTGTCTTACCAATTAGAAAAATAGAAAAAAGCAAAATGAAGCAAAATAGTAACCTATACGCCGCCAACGGAACGTCAATACCATCTTATGGCGAACGAACAATGGTTTTGAATATCGGTTTACGGAGACCCTACAAATGTAATTTTGTGATCGCCGAAGTAACTCGACCAATATTAGGCGCCGACTTCCTGCACAAACATCAACTTACAGTCGACATTCATGGCCGGCGATTGATTGACAAAAAAACTGGGTTATCTGTCGTCGGGTACGTCACACCTACATCAGAGCACAGTATCAACACTGTAAGCAACAAGCAACCGTATCACGACCTACTGGCTAAGTACCCAGATATCACTCGACCAACGCTGAAGCTCTGTCACAGTGAGGTGGAACACCATATAGAAACGACGGGACCACCATTATATTCTATAGCAAGACCACTGTCACCCAATAAGTACAAGGCAGCGAAGGAAGAGTTCGAGGCAATGATGGAACAAGGAATCTGTAGACCATCGAATAGCCCATGGGCGAGCCCAATACACCTAGTTATGAAGAAGGACGGCAAGTACAGAGTATGTGGGGACTATCGTCGACTGAATGCAATTACAGTTCCAGATCGGTACCCCATACCGAGACTACACGACTTCACCTATAATTTACTAGACAAAAAAATCTTTACAAAAATTGATTTAAAGAAGTCTTTCTACCAAGTTAGAAACAGAGAAGAAGACATTGCAAAGACAGCCGTGATAACGCCTTTTGGACTGTTTGAATTCACGAGAATGAGCTTTGGCCTACGTAACGCCGGGCAGACATTCCAACGACACATTGACAACGTGCTGCGAGGACTTCCTGTGTTTCCATTCGTTGACGACATTCTTCTGGCATCTTCTACAGAAGAACAACACAGAAATGATCTAGAAGAAGTATTAAAGAGGCTTAACGAAAACGGACTCCAAATTAATGTAGCCAAGTGTACCTTTGGACAGCCTACCCTTGAGTTTTTAGGCTATACAATAACTGCCGAAGGTATAAAACCAACAAACGAGAAGGTCACAGCTATATTAGAATACCCGCAACCGCAGACTATTCAACAACTTCGTCGTTTTCTCGGTATGATGAACTTTTATCGAGAAAATATTCCATATGCCGCTGAACACCAGAAGGAGTTAAATGGCTACCTACAAAGTGGAAAAAAGAATGATACAGATGAGAGACAACATCGTCGCTGACGCGCTCTCCAGAGTCGAAACAATAACATGTCCAACGCCGATTGACTACGCCGAGCTAGCTAAAGCTCAACACCGCGACGCCGAACTCAAACAGTTGACACAGCAAGGCTGTCATACCTTCAAACGTATAACAATACCCGGAGCAACAACAAAAATCACTTGCGAAATGTCTACAGGATCTGCTCGTCCGTTCTTACCACCGGAGTTCAGACAGAAGGCTTTCCAAGCAATTCACGACCTTAACCACCCAGGCGTAAGAGCGACAAAGCGATTAGTAACGGCGCGCTTCTTCTGGTCGTCAATGAAAAAGGACGTTATCGAATGGGCAAGAAGTTGTGTACAATGTCAACGCGCGAAAGTGCACAGACACACTAAAGCACCAGTAGCGAGTTTCACCCCAGTGGAGCGTTTAGAACATGTGCACATAGATATCGTGGGTCCACTACCAGTGTCAAACAACTGCCGGTATATACTAACCATGATAGATAGGGCTACCAAATGGCCAGAGATCTGTACTATGGAAGAAATAACAGCTGAAAAAGTCGCAAGCGCTTTATACGAGACGTGGATTGCAAGATTTGGCTGCCCTGTAACCATTACCACAGACCAAGGCAGACAATTCGAATCCGAGCTGTTCAACAAACTAATGCACCGCATGGGAATACAGCGAACACGGACTACTGCCTACCACCCCCAGTCGAACGGCATCATCGAGCGCTGGCACCGCACGTTAAAAACCTCACTCACTGCGAGATTAACTTCTACCAACTGGACGTACGAATTACCTACCGTACTACTCGGCCTCCGAGCAGCTTTCAAAGAAGACATCGGCACCAGTACAGCAGAATTATTATACGGTAAAACACTTCGACTACCCGGAGAATTCTACGGCGAACCTACAAAGTCATACAACACTACATCTCAGTTTATGAATCACTTAAATGACGCACTGAAAAAGGCGCAGGTGCAAAGAGAACACCATAATAAACAGCGAGACGTATTCATTCATAGCGATCTAAGCAAGTGTACACATGTATATATACGCAATGATGCAGTAAGCAAGCCGTTGACGCCTACTTATAACGGTCCTTATCGCGTTATCAAACGCAACGTTAAATATTTTAAAGTGCAGTTAGAAAATAGAATCTCAAACATATCAATAGACAGATTGAAGCCGGCATACTATTTCAACATAACATTCGATAAGCAATCTAATGATATACCTAGTTATAGCTATGTTACCAGGTCTGGGCGAACCTCTAAGCCATCCGTTCGCTGGCGGCGGAGTAATGTAGGAGCGACCTACATAAAATAAAAGCATACGTCCTAACGCGGCGAGGGCGCGCCGACACTGGCTGAGTGGCTGCGTCGCCGTCCCGCCGTAGGCGAGTACGTGCGCCGGAGCAGCGAGCGACATCCCTGCGCCGAGTTCAATTGCATACTGAATTGGATTACTTCGGCGCGGTTATTTTATAGTAGGACACTTTTATACCCTGCGGCACGTCGGCCGTAAGGATCGCGAAGTCCCAAGTTGTGTCATTGGTCAATTTACTTTTATTACTCCTTAATGCTACCACTAATTGTACCAACAAATTGTACATATAATACGTTCATTTTTTATAATAAACACGCATTGTCATAACGTATCTTTGTTTAATTTCTGCATCAAGAACATCCCCGAAAGTAGCTAAACAATGCACCTTTACGAGGAAGTAGGTTTGAGTTACGATTGTTGTTTGTTATGTTAATTAAATTTGAACAAACACCGAGGAACTCTAATAAATCAGGAATATTTAAAGACAAAAGTATTAGGCGGGCAGCTGATAAAAATGTAGCAAAAGATTAATGGGATTTGAAAAATTGGTCGTATAATTACACTTTATCTCTAATTTGTTGATCAAATCAGAGGTTTCTTTGTTAAAGTTCTTAAAGTATATTTTACTATTGACCATCTAAGGTCTTTCGTCTCCTCTCAGATTCGCTTCTGATCCTCCGATCAGAAGCGAATCTGAGAGTGAATATAGGTAAGACGTACCTAATCAGTAAATAAATCCTTATGCTAAAAATATGGTTTAAGGCTTTTGCACTTGTATTAGGTGGTGGGGTTGTACGGTACGATCATTTCTGGTGCTGTATGGGTCCTATGAAAATCCTTGCCTATGGTCGACGCTACGATCATTTCTGGTGCTGTATGGGTCCTATGAAAATCCTTGCCTATGGTCGACTGACATCGTATTCCCAAATTCAGGGATAATTTATACTGATCTCCCTTCCGTATTAAATAACTACGAGTGTGAGATGATGAGTTTTGTACATTAGGCCCCGTCTTTAGCGAGATAAGGAATTTGACGTATGCATTATAACCATAACTTGTCTAAACGACCAGGTTACTTCTTTCTAACAATTTTACTTAAGTTTTTTAATTACGGCAGCTCGTAACTGGTGCCATTGCATAAGCAATGGTACCAGTTACGAGCGTATAAACGCGCAACGTAAAATATAATAATATTGGTATTTACGCAAAGAGAACTGAATTGAACAAACTATTTTCAGGCATTGTAAAGGATATTGCACGATATTTTTACGAAATTTGCCAATTATAACTTCGCTTTGGCTCACAAACAATTTTGATAGACGCCAGCTAACGGAGGTCAATTGGCCTCATCTACGCTCGGGCTTTATGAATGTCGAAGTGATACAGAATTGCCTCTGGCGTTATGGCAAACGTGTTCCTGATATAATAATGTGTTGGGGCTTTGGATGATAGTGTTAAAGAGGCCAGTTTTGAAAGGAACAGGTCTTTTTCAACATTTTTCCTTTTATTTGTTTTCATTGGCTGTAGGCAACACATCAAAATATTCGTCAAAATCGGTAAAGTAAATATGAATGGGTTATCGATGATGTTTTATCGAAATAAATAAAAAAGTGACAATCGAATTTTGTAAATATGTATTTGTGGATATCTGTTTTGTGAATAACCCGCCCAATTAAAGAAATAAGTTTTCAAAGCGGTTAATGAGGTTCCTCGCTGTTTTCAAGTCGGAATGTAAAGATTGCTTTTATGGGCGGGTACTAAAATGTTCATAATAAATAGTGGTACATTGAGTATTTTATTTCAAGACAAAAGCTATAGCGCTTAAAGCCGCGGACTTTACTGTAGCAGTTATTGTAATGAATGGAATAAGTGAGAAGACAGCCGCTGTAAGCATAGCGCAAGCACTCGTGCTGATAAGATGGACATTTCCAGCGCTTTGTACATTGTTGGACGCAGACTTAAGCTGCGAGCGGACCTTCCTTGACAGTCGAGAGAACGAACACAAACATTGCCACTTGTGATAAGGAGATTGTGAAATTTATTGAAATTGTTTCATAATTTTTATTTATTCAATGAAATTCCTTTTGTTTTTATTCCTTCCTTTTGTTTTTGTTTTTATTTCCTTTCTTTATTCGCTTTTTACTAAATGCATATATTCATGGATGATTCTATTTTGTTTTACTGGTTCATCTTAATTCTAGTGGTTGCTGGACGGACAACAATTTTTTTTCTCTATATTTATTTAAATCTTTTCTCTCTGTACAAATTTACATTTAAATCCAACCTTAACCTACATTAAAAACGAAGCGTTCTTGGTTTTGAACAGTTGTAATTGG